TCTAGCATCCCCTATCTCATAAGATGATGAAGAAAGCTCTTTGATGTTACCCAGCAGCACTCTGGGAAATGCCAGAGATGGTTTAGATATAAAAGACTTTTTTTTAAAGTTTTATTAGTTTGACTATGGGGTGCAGATTTGGGGAAGGCAATTTCAAAGAGACCCAAGATATAAGTTCTTAGTGCCTAAAGACAGAAAATAACTACAGCTTGGTTCAGAACTTTTCCTGTGTAAACAAGCAGGCAGACTTTTTCAATAACCCAACTATGCCATCTTGAATGCCTCACCTCTTTGGTCTGAAAAACCATATAAGCCAGATTTAAGATATGGATGTTTTACATGTGCTTTCTCCCTTTTCATAATAAACTGTTTATATTAGATGTCTTTAAAGTGGCAGATTTTTAGGAAACATTAAGCTCCAAACAAGAAAAACTCCTTTCCGAGAAAGGAAGGAGAAAAGGGAGCTAGCTGTGTGCATTTCAGACAGAGCTGTGACCGCCCACAGAGTATTGCCCTCTGATCCTCAGTCACGATGCAGTTTTCCTTTGGCAAAGGAGAGAAAGGCTCTTTTCACAGTCACCTGTTGACAATGCACAGTCACAGGGATATCCGTGACTTGGGTTCACATCTTCCGCCCCGAGCAGTGTTATTCAGAGCAGAGAGAAGATTCTGGAAGATGGTGGGTAGGAACGCCCAGGATTCTGTACCCCCACACAGACATCAATCTCACCGGTGGCATCTGTCTAGTGTAACTATTTTGGAACTCTGGAGTCTGAGGAAGGCTTGCAACTGTCAGAGGAAGGCTTGGATGGTAGATTATGGTTAATTTTGGTCATTGTCAGCTCTTAGCAGAATAGCAGCTACCCTTTTCTTATCTCCAGCCCTCGGCAGGAAGCTATACATGTGTTCACAGAGCAGCTTGTGTGCGGCTGGTGGGAACTAGGGTGGGCAGCAAAGACTCTGTCCCCCAGATACTGGGGAATCTGTGTTCAGATTGCCGTTACTGATCATGGAGTCGCAGACACAGGGGCAGCTGTTGTGCAACCCCCAACTGTTGAAAATCCCTCACTCTCCAGTTGAAGTGACTTCCAGGGACTTGAAGAGTTGGTGCCCTTCACTCCCTCTTCGTTGCGGTCTTTTTCCCCTTTGGGGAGTCAGGTACTAAGACATTCCAAAGCAAATGCTCTTGTGGAGGAAATTAGAAAGTCACCACGCATGGCCAGAGAAAGGCACAGGTTCAGGAAAGACCTGAGACCTAAAGTTGACGCCTCAGCACACAGACATCCTACAATTACAAAAACAAAAGCCAGCAAACCTCAGGAAGGGGAAGAATCTGATTTCCAGGGTTGCTACATTGTTCAATTGCAATGTCCAGTTTTGAAGAACAACAACAAAGCACAATGGATACAAAAAAATGGGGAAGTAAAGCCCATTTCAAGGGGAAAAAAAAAAAAATGAACCAACAGATACTTCCCTGAGAAAGACCAAATGGCAGAATTGCTAGACAAAGGCTTTAAAATATTGCATAATTATAGCAGCTTAGTATTATTGTAAAACCAGTTCGTAACTCCACTTTTTGTTTTTTACATGATTCAAGAGAATAATGCGTTTTTAAAAACTATTAGTCTAAAAGCTAGTATTCTTGTACCTTTGGCTTAAAACTCCATGTTTTCTTTTCTCTATACTTTATGAAAGTGATGCATTGAGAAAACAACCATCATTTTATATTTTTGGACACATGTAAAGATATAGTTTTGTGACATCCATAACTGAAAGGGTTGGGGTGGAGCTATAAACAAGCAGAGTTTTTGTACATTATTGGAGTTAAATTGGTGTAAATTTAAATTAGACTGTTACAATTTTAGGATATTAAATGTAGTCCACATGGTAACCACAAAGAAAATAGTTACAAAATATACACCAAAGGAAATGAGAAAGGGCTTAAAGCATTTCACTGCCAAAAAAAAAAAATCAAACACTGAAGAGCATAATTTGGGAAATGAGGGACCAGAAAACCTAGAAGGCATGTAGGAAAAAAATAGANGCAACCCACTCCAGTATTCTTGCCTGAAGAATCCCACGGACAGAGGAGCCTGGTGGGCTGCAGTCCATGGGGTTGCACAGAGTTGGACACGACTGAAGCAGCTTAGCACAAGCACACCTCTGATGCTGGTATGAGAGATTTGAGTTACCATGGTCACAGAGATCAGCTGTAACAGAGGACTCCATCAGTGATCCAGAGTGATGGGCCGTTTAGGAAGATATAGAGGAGCACAGGTGGTTAGACCATAAAGCCACTCACTACTCAACATTGCAACATTGCCGCCACCCACGGGGAGACCAGCGGGGTAGTGCACAGATCAATACCAGATATAGACTGAGTTCTGAAATACAGACAGTTAAAAATGAGTAATAAGAAATAGGCACAGTCGGCGAGAGCAAAGCTCTGTTAGCCCATCGTGAAGTTCTCAAGGAGCGCCCTTCTAGGGCAGCACACTTAGTCAGCTCTCCTGAGTCCATCCACACACCTCAATGTACCCAACAATTCTAAACAGAAGCCCCCAAAAGAAACACAAAGAGAAACTAGTGTTTACTCATAATTTACAATCACAGGTGCCCACACACACCTGTGTGGGGAGGAAGGGACGCAAAGTTACAAGGTTGCAGTTAGTATCCCACTAATAAAAACAGTAGCTTATGTGTTTTTTTTTACATAATTGCAATATGTCCAACAGTAATCTCATATCAGAATTGCAAAAGTCAGAGATAAAGTTATTTTCATGAGAAGCTAACTTCGGAAAACTGGCCCAAGGATTCATTTCTGTTGAGAATTTGAGCAAGACAGAATGACCTTTATGTTGGGGAGAGTAGCAGTTTCTGCCACTTGAACGTTATGGGGACCTTGCTTCTCATTCAGAGCTCACAGATTGGGAAACTATATAAGATGAAACCATACTTTCTGCCTGAAGTAATTTTTTAAATGATGATAACATAAACTAAGGGATTCCCAGGTGGCTCAGTGGTAAAGAATCTGCCTGTCAATGCAGGAGATGCAGGTTCTATCCATGGAGGGATCCCCTGGAGGAGGAAATGGCAACCCACTCCAGTATTCTTGCCTGGAGAATTCCATGGACAGAGGAGTCTGGCGGGCTATGGCTCATGGGGTCAAAAAGAGTCGGACAGGACTGAACATGCATTCACACTATATAAACTTAAAAAAAAAAAATGCTCTAGTCAAATCCTCTTCCTCTCCTTGGTTTTGCTTTCAACCTTGACCATGTCCAGGGTCACAAAACCAGTCTTTCATATTCATTCAAGAGTGGGAATGCCCCTGTATGCACAAGAACTGAGAGTTTGTCTCCTCTCTCCGTCACTTCCATGATAAAGGAAGAGAACCCGCCCATCTTCACACTTTTGTGAATCACGTTTGTCTGACAGTGAATGTGGGGGTTAATGATAAGTCACCAGCCTGCTGAGCTCAACAGAATTAAACTCACAACCAGAGATGAGTGCAATTTAATGATAAACAGATAAAGCAGGAGGCTCAGAGGAGTGTCTCATACCAAGGATCTTCTCCAGCCTGTTTTAAGTGCTGTCATTGGAAAATAAATATGCTGCATTTGGGGGTTTTCAGGCAAAGAGTTCCTGTCAGACGCGTCTTAGCTGTCATCAGTTGAATGAAGACACTTTCCTATTTCAGTAATTTAGACTTCAGCATTTTTTTTTTATGTGCACACTAAAATAAGCCACTTAAACATAGGATAAGAGCTGATACTAAAATTATGAAGTCCTATGTTTTATTTATTACTGCTGGGAATTAAGATATCATTGCCTCCTCCCATGGGGTTCCATTTCCTGCCCCCAAGCTCCATGTGTCAGAGACTTAAATAGCAGAAGTCATCCTTTAGAGACCTGTAAGGAGGAAGAATATTCCAAATGGGTTTTAGGAGCTACCTAAATATGTCTGATTAGGGGGCGGGAGACAAGGCAGGAATTGAACTTTGGACACATGCCAATTCCACCCAATTTGAAAATTTAAGAAGCGCCAACTTTGCTACAGCCACTCCTGTACTCGGTTCCAGAAGTAAATCAATAGGACAGAATTGGAGCCTGCAGGTGGAATGAATTAATTGTCTTGCAGGGTTTTTGGTAATACCTAAATGGCTTTGTAAACTAAAAGTATTCCATAAAGATGTCATTATAAGTACCTCTGTCGCTGGGAGGAGCATGATTGATAATGAATGATAAGGTGAATTAAGGAAAAAAAGTTGTATGTTACCTTGTTTTTTCCACAGGAAGTAAAACATGTCAAATTAGTAAATGTTATATGGCAGAACCATTCAGTAAAACCCCATCAGAGAAATAAACAGTTCATCCAGTTGCCCTAGTTCAGAGGAAACCTCATTTTATATATTATTTGTAAAGTTTTGTTCTCCTGCTTTGAATGTTTCTCTTTTCTTTATAGGAACCAGAATGCAGATTTCATATATACATACATTTTTGTACTTTGACTCTTATTTGTTAAATAATACAGTTGCCAACATAGCTCCCATCAGGGGATTTTTGAGGTTGTGTTAGAGTTACCATATGTTTTCCTGACTTCTTTGAATAGCAAGCAGGGACCCACTGATAACTAACCTCTACTGAGACCTGCGTCCAGGGTCATCACCGTGTGTTCAATGCTTCCCACATGTTTACTCATTAAATCTTTGCAACAACCTAGTAAGGGTAGGTATACTGTCATTCTTGCTCCATGATTTGAAAAGCTGAGGCTCAGAGGCCTGAAATAACTTGTCCAGAGAGTCAGTCCCACATCTATCCAGTACCACAAGCCACGCATTCATGTTTGGTCTATGTGCCCGCAGTACCTATGTAGAGAATCATCAGTGATGGGAACAGACAACATGTTAACCTGGCCTCTTGTCTTCTCTTTTTCACCCTAGTCCCCACCTCCTCTGTTCTGACCCCATTTCAACTCTCCCCTTGTCTTCTTTCCGAAGGCAAATACGCCATGCGAGACCTGGTCCACCGGCTTCCCGGCGGGAACAACAGCAACAGCGCAGCGAGCAAGGCCATGTCGGATGACACGGTGACGGCTGTGTGCTGCACGCTCCATGAGGTGATCACCAAGAACATGGAGAACGCCAAGGCCTTACGGGACGCCGGGGGCATCGAGAAGTTGGTCGGCATCTCCAAAAGCAAAGGAGACAAGTAAGTCAGGCAGTGACTTCCTAATGCATAGAACTGGTGTTGGTAGATACAGATCTAGGGTTTCCCAGGTGGCATTGTGGCCAGGGCAGGAGACACAAGAGACGGGCATTTGACCCCTAGGTCAGGAAGATCCCCTGGAGAAGGAAAAGACAACCCCCTGCAGCATTGTTGCCTGGGATATCCCAGGGACAGAGGAGCCTGGTGGGCTACAGCCCGTGGGGTCACAAAGAGCTGGACATGACTGAGCATGTACGCACACATGCACAGACACAGTTCTAAGTGTGCCCGATGACCCTTGGTTTGGGGTAACACTACCGAATGTCACTGGGAAGCACTGGTGTCTGATCATCAAGAGATGGAAGACAGCAGATGGTTTCCAGTCTTCCCACCCCACAAGGAAAGCTGGTCTTACTAGTAATTTTGATTTGACAAATAACTCATGACTTGGTGACTCCTGGGGTGTTGATAAGGTAGGCTTAACAATCCAGCATCCAGTCTAGTGACCTGCATATGTGCTTCCCTCATAGCTCAGTTGGTAAAGAATCTGCATGCAATGCAGGAGACCCCAGTTCAATTCCTGGGGCAGGAAGATCCCCTGGAGAAAGGATAGCTGCCCACTCCAGTATTCTTGAGCTACCCTTGTGTCTCAGCTGGTAAATGTGGGAGACCTGGGTTCAATCCCTGGGTTAGAAAGATCCCCTGGAGAAGGGAAAGGCTACCTACTCGAGTGTCCTGGCCTAGGGAATTCTATGGACTGTATAGTTCATGGGGTTACAAAGAGTCGGACATGACTAAGCGACTTTCACTTTTCATACCCAGGAGATGACCCAGATTCATGAAGGTATTTTGTGGTGCTGGTTCCAGTGTAGTTCCAAATCCAAGTGTTGATGATGGATCTACATCCTTTTGTTCTGTGCCTCTTCAGTTCTGCATAGCAAGGCATGCAGGGAGGATGGGAGAGAAAACAGTGGCAGTCAAAAAGAACCTAGCACTTATCTACCACCTTCCCTCATCAGCTGTGTGTTTGGGACAAATTATGTCGTTCAACAAGTTATCATGCTCATACTTGCCAATCTAAAGACCGCAGTGGGGACTGACATAAAAGACTTCCTGGAAGAAATAATAATTACATCTTAAATACTGAGTCAGATTTTCCCAAGGATGGAAGAAGTGAGGAAGGAGGGCTTTTACGCCAGTGGATTAAAGAGAGAGAGGGCTTATGTCAAAGGAATGGCACCACCACAAATAATAATGTTCCCGGTTCGATTTAAGAACCAGTGGTATTTTACTGTATGTAACTTAAAACGTATCTTCACCAGCCACAGGGTTGGTATATCCGTGAGCTGTCAATTTTACAAAAACACTCACTAACCTTAATTAAATTTCGACTTCTGGAAGTCCCTCAATGTAATCAAATAAGATTAACAGGGTAAACCTTTTGTTATCAAGGGTCTACTTCTTGACTTTATTCCCTTTATATCTAAACGCCAAATAAGTTTTCTTTTGTTATTAAAGGCTTTAAAGGATGCACTTCAAGGCTTTTGGATATTCTCTTATTTCATTTAATTCAAGATACTATCATTGTGCAATTAAAAGAAGTTTCAGGGGTTCTGTTTAAGCGCCCTGAGACCTTCAGATAGGTTCAGTCAGTAGTTTCAGTATTAGGATTTGAAAACTTTTCCATATCAAATATAGAGAAACCCCACTGGACTTGTGGGCTTGTGGAATAATTGCACAGTACAGATGCTTGACTTGAATTATACCTTATAATATTGTAGTTACAGTAAAAATGCTCTTATCTATTGGCAGGAAACCACATGGTTCTCTTGTTTATTTACTTTTTAGGACTGGGCAGAGGGGTGGTTTTTCCCTGAGGCTTTCTGTGAGCTGAGCCTGCAGGACTTATCCTGGGGCCACTAGCTAGGTCAAGGAAAGTTACACAGGCTTTGATTTTCTCTCTTTATTTTTGGCTGTGCTGGGCCTTTGTTGCCGCACTGGGGCTTTTCTCTAGTTGCAGCAGCAGGGCTGCTCCCTCATGGTGGTGCCCGCGCATCTCATTGCAGTGGCTCCTCTTGTTGTGGACTCCGTGGCCCCGGGCTCCTGGAGTTGAAGCTCCCAGGCTCTGGCGCACAGGCGCGGTATCTGTGGGGCACAGGCTTAGTTGTTCTGGGGTACGTCGGATCTTCCGAATCAGGGATCAAACCCATGTTTCCTGTAATGGGAAGCGGATTCTTTCCCACTGAGCCGCCAGGGAAGCCTCAGTTTTCTTCTTGTTATATAGCTTCAGTGGTTGTTATTATTCAGTCACTCAGTCGTGTCTGATTCTTTGTGACCCCATGGACTGTAGCATTCCAGGCTTTCCTGTCCTTCACTTAGCTTCACATAGCTTTAGTGGACCTTGGAAATCTCTAATTGAAATGCGTACCTGTTTGGGGCATTAGAAACTTAATATGATGATGCTTTTCTTAAGCAAGCACACATGCATACACAATAAAACCACAGTCCACTCTGATATAATTGTCTATGTTCATGAGACGTTCAGAAAAGAAAGCATTGTCCCTGAATCATAAAACTGTAGAGCTCTGGGAGGTTGTTATATGAATTCCTTCCATCTGTGTGAGCATCCCTAGTGGGCCTTAAAGAGAAAAAAATGCTCTTATCAGCCCTATGGTCAAAGAAAATTATTTGATAAAACTAATTAAAAACTCATTTGAAGAAACTGTGCGTGAAGTCGTATATATCCACATTGCCAATCCAGCAAATAATCCTGTTAGGTCTATTCCCGTCTGGATTGTTGCTAACGGGAGGTTCCTTTTACTAGAAATAATCTCAAATATATGCTTTAAATTGACTGAAAATTTCTTCATGGAATAGATACTCATTTCATATCATTGCCTCTTTACCTTTCCCTCAATGTTTAGCAGTCTGGATTTATGAATTTAATAAGAAGTGTTGAATTCACTTGAGTCAAGCATTTCCCATTTAGAATTCTCCTGCTTAGTCTCATCCATTTTGTTATGCGGTTTACCTCTTTTAGATAGTGGCTAATTTGGGGGTCGAAGCAAGGTTTTTATAACTGGCCACATCCTCATCTCCCACCTGCACTTCAGTTGGATTTTTGCTTCTCACTGCTCTTAAAATGCATCCAGAAGAAATACATTGGATCTTAGCACTAAACTCACCATTTGTCACTCGATTCTATCATGATAGTATATCTGAGATTCCCATGGCCTTCTAGAAGTGTTTCAATGAAATAAAAATACTTCATTGAAAATAAATGTTTTGGAATTGAAGATGATTTAATAATTGGAAAAGGGAGAAATATCAGTTTGCTCTAGTTAATTCATAAAATGCTTGCAGACTTGCCCTCCTCCCAAAACTACTCAAACTTTTGTGATCACGTGAGAAAACACAGATGAACAACCATGTATAGCTATGATTCTCCCTTTTATGTATTTATAGGTTTTATTTCTAAATATGCACACACTTAAATATGCTGTGATTTTGATGCGTCAGACTGCAAGTGCCAATCAAGGTGTGTTTGAACTGTATAACTCATCACATCTTGCCAATACACTGGAACAATTATTCTGGAATCCTGCAGCTGGAATGACTGTGTTGAAAACCCACAATGAAATCACACCAACTGAGATTCTCAGCCATCCCTAATTTGACAACTCTAGTGAAGATCAGACATTGTGTAGTTGTTAATGACTCTTATAGGAATCTTATACTTACCATTTTTGAAGACCTGATAACTTATATTATTCTTTTCACATCATTTTAAACACACAGCATGGACATTCTGTCATATCCATCTGTTTCAAAAGTACATTTGTGTTTTTTCAGATTTTAACAGTCGTGTAGGAAATAGTGTTGAATGTGTCAACTGTATTTTGTCATAAGACAGAAAAGCCATTAACAGTCTCAACTGTTACTTGTCAGTAAGGAACTGTGTTTGTGGCTGAGGTTATAATCACTTGTCACATTAGAAGCACTCAATTGTTCAAGTCCTTCAATCAACAACAGTTACAGGTTTTCAAGTAGCCATTGCCTGAGACTGGTCTAGTGGATGAACCAAAATTAAAGTCTAAAAAGAAAGCAGTATTTCTTTGACCTTTATCAGTTTTTATAACACTATGGTATACTGACATGTTAATTGAGAGGTTAAAAGTTGCTATTCATTCCACATTCTCAGTCTGCATTTTGTAACTAAGCAAGAAGTAGGAAAAAATTACAGTGTCAGAGGACGTTTTGCATACTAAAATTTTCAACTGTATTATTACCACCTGAATATTAAGATATGTTCCTCTAGAGTTGCTTGACTTTTGTCAAAGATACGTATATAGCTACTGCTGCTGTCGTGCCCGACTCTGTGCGACCCCATAGACGGCAGCCCACCAGGCTCCCCCGTCCCTGGGATTCCCCAGGCAAGAACACTGGAGTGGGTTGCCATTCCCTTCTCCAACATATCTAGCTAACAGTGCTAAAATCCAGCAAAACATAGCATTTACTCTTTGCTCAGCATTGATTATGTAAGAATAGTATGTGAGGATCATCAGAATTGCAGAGCTTCTTCCCGAGGAGCCTACATCAACTCCCCAGGGCCAGGAAGACCAGCCCCCAGCTGGGAGAGCCCCAGGGCTGTAGGAAACACGGACTCTGCTCTTAAGGGCTCACGCACAACTCATTCCGAGACTGAGCGCTGAAGCAGCAGTTTGAAAAGAGCCTGGGTCAGAGCTCTTACTGATCTTAGAGAGCATGTCAGAGAGGCAGGAGGCAGCTGAGACTCCCTCTGGGGACAGAGACGCTAGCAGCAGCCTCTTTGGGAAGCTAGTTCTGCCTTGCGGACACTGGTGCTAGCAAGTGCCACTTTGGAGTCCTCCTAGTTTATTAGCACCAGGGGATTACTTGCCCACCAGCCAGTCAGCCTCACTGCTGGTTCTCCCTAGGTTGAGAAGCTAGCTGTGCCGGGACCAATAGCATCCATACAGGGCCTG